CAGGAAGCGGAGCCTCCCGGAGGAGCCGTGCGTGTTGGAGATCCGGCGACGACCGCCGCGCCGCGGGGGCTGTGTGGGCTGCGAAATCCTTTTCTGCAAGAAATGCAGGAGTCTGCACAGCCACCCGGACTATGTGGCGCACTGCGTTCTGGATCACCCGGATCTGGGTAAGGCGGGGGCCGCTGGGAGCTCCTGAGCGCCCCCACTCCCAGCCTTTGTGCCCTCCATCCTTTCCTAGTCCCAGACTCCATACCGACCTTCTCTCTTCCAACGCGGACTCCTCTCTGACACATTCCCAGAACCGCCCCTTCTCAACTGCTGTCCAGAGCGCCCCCATCCGGCAAGAAGGCCCACTGTTGGTGGTTGGTTCCCACCTATCACCTAGTGCCCCCAGTGCAAAGCCCAGCATAACCTAGAGCCCACTGTCAACGGCGCCCACCGAGGGCTCCCCGCCCCACGCAGCACCAGCGCCACCGCACACCTGACTCTGTAGGCTCACACAGCCTCACCTTCACCTCTTGGGTATTTCAGATCTGCTCTGGCCCGGTGGGCAGAGGCATCGCCTAGAGAAAATAACCTCCGGGTTCCCTCATCCCTCTTGACAAACCTGCCTCTTTCCCTGAAACCATTCAGTAAAACCTCTGATCAAAGTGTCAGTGCTTTGAGGTGGGGCACGGTGGCTCCGGGTGGGGATGATCCTCCTGGGGTTCAAGCCAGAGGTAAAAGTGTGGGCAGGGAGCCTCTTCCCTCTCTACCCCAGAACAGTACAAACATTTGTATCCAAAGGTAAATGCCCTTCTGCTCGCCGCAGAGAAGAAAATGAACGGGCAGGGCCAACAGTGGCCCTGGGGAGCTGAGGGCTGAACTCTTGCCAGACCATTCTCCCCTCCCCTAGATGCCCTGGCTTGCTGAGGTCAATGCTGTGCATATGAGGCACTAGCAGGTGTGGAAGGGTGGGGGAAGCCTGGAAAACCAGATGCTAAAATAAATGCTGGCATGGGTGGAGGCTGAAGACAGGGAGACTGGGGAGCTGGTTCCTTCTCCAGGAATCCCAGCTATTCTTGGCCAGACAGCAGGAGCTTTGGGAATGCCGCGTGTGTGGCCTGGAGAATGCGGCCATTGTGAGAGCACAAGGCCACCCCCAGCCTGCAGGGCTGCCTGTTGTGGAGGCTGCATCCCCAGCGCCTGCAGCGTTGCAGACCCCCAGGAAGGCCCCTTGACCTCTCCCTGCTGCACAACATTCTCCATCTGGCCTGGGGGGCAAGGACATTTTGCTTTTTTTTTTTTTTTTTTTTTTGAGGCGGAGTCTGGCTCTCTTTCCCATGCTGGAGTGCAGCGGCCGGATCTCAGCTCACTGCAAGCTCCACCTCCCGGGTTCACGCCATTCTCCTGCCTCAGCCTCCCGAGTAGCTGGGACTACAGGCGCCCGCCACCTCGCCCGGCTAGTTTTTTGTATTTTTTAGTAGAGACGGGGTTTCACCGTGTTAGCCAGGATGGTCTCGATCTCCTGACCTCGTGATCCGCCCGTCTCGGCCTCCCAAAGTGCTGGGATTACAGGCTTGAGCCACCGCGCCCGGCCGACGTTTTGCTTTTTGAGGAGAGGCAGGCACCCTCTCTCCATCACAGCTACACACACACACACACACACACACAGCTGGCTGGTCCTGGCTTGGATGGAAGAGCATGGCCTTGGCCTCCCCTGCACCCATGCCCACCTGCTCTCAAAGCAAAGGATGGAAGAACTGCTCCAAAGAAGGCTGCTTCCTGCCTCTCGGCCCACCAGCTGAAGGCCCCTCTTTATTCTAGCCCCGGACAAAAAGCCAGGGACTGGCAGGCCTGCATCAGTCTCCCTCCCACTCTGCGTCCTGACCCCACAAAGGGCCTCTGAGGTTGGAGACACCTATGCCCTCATCCCCATCCATGCTTCCTGGGGGTGCGGCCTCTGACTAAATATGACACCGTTTTCTAAGAACTGAGCCAGGAGGTCCTGAGGAGAAGGGCAGTCTTGCAAAATGGTCTCTAATCTCTCTGCTGAGTTTTTCATCCCGCTGTTTGGATCCCAGTGCTGTCACCTCTTGAAAGGAACTGTACCTTTAGCAGAAGAAACAAAGGCCTGGGGAGGATAGAAGTCCTTGAAGGAAAGGGCCAAGGGATCTGGGACCCTTTTTTGCTTTTCCTAAGATCGATCCCACCCCCACCTCCATGTGGTAGGAACAGACAAAGACAATGCTGCATTCTTCAAGGAACAAAGGCAGACAGACTTCCAGATGGGGGCTTTGCTGCCTGGTCTTCTGCAGAGGGACTCAGAGGCTTCTAAGACGGGTTCTGCCCCAGGGGTGGGGAACACGATTTTGCCCTGAGAGCACCACCAGTTTCTGAGATGAGGAGGTGCCTTCAGAACAGGGTACTCCCTGAGTTGGCGTGCCAGCAGCCCATCCAGGGCAGCTCGGTGCCCCAGCGGCCTGAGGTGGTCGCCCGCAGTTTGGCCTGGTCGAGGCGCCAGTAGCGGTCATCTCGGAAGAAGATGATGGAGCCGTCGGGCCTCGGCAGGGCGCCGCTGACCTCCTCAGGGATGCCGCCCCAGTCCTGCAGACTTCGGGGGTAGTAGGGCTCCACTTGCAGTCCCCCTTGGGCCAGCACGTAGTAGCGGGCACCCTTGAAGAGGATGAGGCGGCGTAGAGGAGGAAAGAAGAGGGCGGCGTCGGGGTGGTGGGGCAGGCCCCCTGCACGGCACAGCTGTGGGAGACCCCACACTGGCTTGGGGCCCCGGAACCTCCAGCATCGACCCCCTGTGGGAAATTGGGAGAGCCAGGGTGAGCTCTCTACCCTACCTCTATCCCCCATACCTCTGCTCTCCTTTAAGCTGGAGCCCACGATGGTTGGTATTCATACCAATCGAATGGATTGCACTACTAATTAGTTATAAATAGCAGGGCGGTAGTAGCGACCACTGTTATTGTCGAGACTTCCAGCAGGTGTCAGCAGAGGGCGGATAGCCTCGAAAGGAAAGCCCAGCGCTTTCTCCACCGCCATCACTACTAATAATTCTATGAGGGCAAGGATTTTTGTTTCGTTCACTCCTGTATCCCTAACATATCCAACCGTGTCTAGTGCATACAAGGCACTCAATATTGGTTGAATGAATGAAAAATGAATGAATTCTATTTACCTAAGTATTACCATGTATCTAGTAAGATATTGTACACTCTTCAAGCAATATTCTCTTTTCATACTCCTTCCTCAAAAACTCTGAGGTATTGTTTTCCCCATTCGAGAAATGCACACTCCAAAAGTTAAGCGACATGTCCAACCCCACACGGCTAGGATTCCAAGGAAGATCCACTCTTTCGGTGGAATTGCAGAATTCTAGAGCCGTCCTCTGCTTCCCTCTAGACTCCTCTCTGAAACTGTCCCTGGGACCTTGACACTTGCTGCTCCCTAATCCATCCCTGAAAGGTATCTTCTGATAGAGTCTCCCCTGGGGTCACAGGTTCAAATTGGAATAGAGACTCCACGATGGACTCGTGTGAGAGTCTTCCCCTCTTTTGTCCTTTTGACCTTGGGCAGGACACCTCCCCTCTCTAGGGCTCAGTTTTCCCAGCTGCCCCAGAGCCAGTACCTTTGAAGAAGTAGAAATCTCCATCCTCCAATGACACTGCAGCAGCCTCAATGTTGGGGGGCAGCCCGACCCACCTTTCCTGTAGTGGATGGGGCTCTGAGACGTTGCCATCAGGTGCCACCTCCCAGAAGTGGCTCCCTTTAAAAATATATAGTCGCTGTTGCCTGTCTGCCCAGAGACAAGAGAGAGTTGAGGTGTGACCATCAGCTTCCTGCTGGCTTTCCAGGGAAGATGCTGTCCTGGAAGCCAGTTTCCCAAATGGACAAGGGTAGGGTATGGTGTGTACAGTTGACGCAGAGGGGAAAGTGGGCAGGAAGAAGCAGTGTTTTGCTTGGTGTGGGGTTGCTACTTGCAGCATGCTTGTGGCTTGGGATTTCTGGCTTTTACAATCCATCCCCCCACCTTGTACTCCAGCTCTGGAGACCCTAAGAGATGTGGAAGGAGAGAATAAAGAAGCAAAGCCCCAGTGGGACCTTCTTACCTACAGTGATGGCATCGAAGGAAGAGTGGCAGTATTTAGGGCCCTGGGTTTCAGGGCGCCTTCCTTGGGGGCTGTGGGAGTCCCAGGCCTCAAAGTCAGTGAACAGCTTTCCTGGGAGCTGGACGGCCACCGAGCCCCCTAGGGGCTTCCCTTTGTGAGTAAGGAAATGAGAGAGAGAGAGCACACATAGAGTGGAGGGTGTGCTGTGCACTCAAGACCTTCCCTTGGTTACTTTCATGATTATTTAATATGAGGGGCAAGGAAGGAGAATGGGAGTGGGGGTTAACAGTTGTTGCTGGGCCAGGAGTGGTGTTTCACACCTGTAATCCCAGTACTTTGGGAGGCCGAGGCAGGCAGTTCACTTGAGGTTAGGAGTTTGAGACCAGCCTGGCCAATGGTGAAACCCTGTCTCTACTAAAAATACAAAAATTAACCGGGCATGGTGGCCCACACCTGTAGTCCCAGCTACTTGGGAGGCCGAGGCAGGAGAATCGCTTGAATCCGGGAGGTGGAGGTTGCAGTGAGCCAAGATCATGCCACTGCACTCTAGCCTGGGTAACAGAGTGAGACTCCATCTCAAAAAGAAAAAAAAAAGAGTTGTTTCTGGTTGTCGGTGCTAACCATCAAACTAAACTCAGGAATCTTGTCCTACCCAACATCCTGGGACAGAGGAACCTCCTGAGATAAAATTGGAGTGGGGTATCAAGCAAGGGTTTGGAACTAAAAGGGGCAGGGAGTCCTCTTCCCTGATTTCTGGGCAACACAAGTGTCATGAGGGCAGAGTCCAGAGACCCAGGCTGTGATAACTACAGCGATTATAATAATTACATCACTATCCTTCACTTATGAGAGAAGTGAAGCAGAGTCCAACCAGCTTCTTATTTGGTGCCATCACCTGAATCCCAGTCTGCAATTTCCTAGCTGCATGACCCTGAGCAAGTTACCTAACCTCTCTGAGCCCCATTATTTTAATCTGTGGACAAAAAGAAGCATACTTCATGAGTGTGTTGCATGTCAAGTGCCTTGCCCACAGTAGGTACTCATGAAATAGTAGCTGTTCGTATTACGGGGCATAAGTTTCTCACGCTACAAAGCATGCGCATACCCAGTAGCACAACAGCCCTGTGAGGTAAGCAGGGCCTCAATTGTTTTCCCTTTTCACAGAAGGTGAAACTGAGGGCTCACAGAGGGAAAATGCCCAAGAGCATCTGCTAATCAGGGATGGAAGGTGACTTGAACCCAGGCCTCCTGGCTTTGCCCATGGCACTCTGAGAGAGACAGCCCTGCGCTGAGATAGGTCCCAGGGCAGGAGCACTGGCCCACCCTGGGGAAGAAGACCTGGTCTGAGCCCATCACCAGGCAGAGGTGGGCAGGTTTTGGGGGTAGGGGGCATCAGCGTCATGGTGAGAGAAAGGCTCGGGGAGAGCTAGTGGCTGGGGCAGGAATGAAGGCTTTGGGGTCTGGGATGGGGGACGAGGTGGGCCCGAGGATTGGGTATGGGTGAGGGGGCCGGGACATGATGTGAGCGGGAGCTCCAGAGGCTGGAGGTTGCGCAGAAATCCAGTAAGTGGAACGCAAGGGGCTGGGGCTGGGGGTACTGTGCACAGGAATTGGTTGGGACTGATGGAGAGATGAGGGCCATGGACTCAGGGGAGCAAGAGTCCGAGGTTTTTCAGATTTGAGGGGGGCATGGGGCTTTAGAATTGGGACGAGTCGGCGACAGGGAGGCCAGATCTATGCGCTTAGGATGGGAAATCATATTTGAGGAGCTGGTGTTCAAGGACAGAAGGCCCGGGGGGCAAGGGTGGGACCAAGAGCGGGGCATGTCCGGAGGCCTTACCATACAGGCTCTGCACGGCCAGCACGTCGTCCCAGCTGAGCAGCGCGTCGCGGCCCAGTCTCTTGTAGTAGGGCGCCATGAGCGCGCGCGGTG